AGTAGTGCAGTTACAGTTGATGTTTGAGGGGCTAAATTAAATGTTAAAATACCTGTTTTTGTTTTCATATATATTACAATTCTACAATTCACATATAATAATTTCCTTATTTTTTTAACTGCCCAAACTCACATCCATAGCGAAATCTTAAGATTAAATACAAATAATAAAATTAAATACATGTTTACAAGTATTCAGGTGTGAAAAACTTGTTGCATCTTTCCCCAAAAGACTCATGGCTGTATTAGATCAAAAGGGTGTTTCTACTAAATACTGAGCAAAGGGTCTGAATACTTAGGACCATGTGATATTTCAGATTTTCTTTTTTAATAAATCTGCATAAATGTCAACAATTCTGTGTTTTTCTGTCAATATGGGGTGCTGTGTGTACATTAATGAGGAAAAAAAATTAACTTAAATGATTTTAGCAAATGGCTGCAATATAACAAAGAGTGAAAAATTTAAGGGGGTCTGAATACTTTCCGTACCCACTGTATATATATATAAATATATTAGTGCTGTCAAACGATTAATCGCGATTAATCGCTTCCAAAATGAAAGTTTTTGTTTACATAATATATGTGTGTATATTTATTAAGTATATATAAATACACACACTTACAGTATATATTTTGAAAATATTTCCATGTATATATTTATATTCATATAATTGATAATATATATAAATATTTTAAATGTATAAACTTAACATATTTTTCTTAAATATACACATGCATGTGTGTGTATTTATATATACATAATAAGTATATACAGTACACACAAGCGTATATTATGCAAACAAAAACTCATTTTGGATGCGATTAATCGCGATTAATCGTTTGACAGCACTACATAAAATAAGAACTCTTGTTTCGGAGTTTATTATTAATAAAAAACAAACAAACATATCTGCCAACAGGCTCAGATAAATCATGGAAAACAAGTTTTCATAAAGCAAACAAAAACGTTTATTTTGGATGCGATTAATCGCGATTAATCGTTTGACAGCACTAATATATATATATATATATATATATATCAACTGTATTTTCCGATTGAGTTTTTTCAATATCCATTATCCTGAATAGTGATTCTTATTATTGTAATAAAAGTTTGTTTTACTGTATTACAAAATACAATGATGTATTTTGTTAGCATAAGTTAAAGGCAGTACATCAAATACAAATGTACTGTTTAAAAAAAAATGAAATTCTGAAATGATAATTTAGGGTATAATTGTGTTGAACTGTCATAAAATAATGCCATAACACAAAAAAAAATCTAAATAGACCATTTAATTTAATATTTAATTGACACATTTTTTCCTTTTTTAATTTTGGGGTGAATTATGATTTATTGTATGCATGTTCTTGACATGTTTTGTTAGATTCACCCAAGTATGCAAGATAACAGTAATGATGGTGCATCCTTTATTTCACATGCATACTTGTATTTGCACGTTTTACTTTTCATGATCAAACCCCATATTTAGAGGCATCAACAACCAGCAGTGAGGTGACGGATGAGCCTCCGACTCTAATTAAAGAAGATGTGTTGTCTCTCTCTACTCGGGTAACATCCAATAGTCTTCAAATAAATGAAGTTGTTTGAACCTAATGCCTTGTGGGAATTAAAATATATGTTGCAAACCTGATTTTGCTTTTCAAAGCAACTTGGTTGAACACATGCCATGTGTGACATTATTGTTTTTCACAGGAGGAAGAGGAGGTGATTGGAGCCCCACCGCTTAAAAGAGTTTGCACTGAGCAAAACTCAACTCCCAGATAGCACCACTACGCTGAACATTGCAGGTCAAAAGTATAGAAGTATTTCTGAAAGAGACTAAACCAGGGGTGCCCAAACTCAGTCCTGGAGGGCCGGTGTCCTGCAGAGTTTAGCTCCAACTTGCCTCAACACACTGGCCTTCGAGTTTCTAGTATGTCTAGTAAGAGCTTGATTAGCTGGTTCAGGTGTATTTAATTGAGGTTGGAGCTAAACTCTTCAGGACACCGGCCCTCCAGGACCGAGTTTGGGCACCCCTGGACTAAACTGTAGATTTAAAAGTCTTTTTACAACCTGCCAAATGCCTGAAACTCACTTTAACCGTATAAGATAAAGAAAAAGCTTGATTTTTTTTCTTTTTTTGTACATTAAAAAGATCATCTTAGATCTTGTCAGGTATTTTCTTATGAAGGTAAAGCAGTTTGTATTGCATCTTGAAAAGAAACTGTTATAGTGCATGTTTCTCAATCTAAATTGAGAAAGGACTTTGTCAGTATAATACATGCGACTGCATGGAGTAATGATTAGTATGTGCACTATGGCAAAACAGTTGAATTTTAAGCTGTTAGCTTGTTTTGTGTTTGAGGCATTTCTAAAGATTATACAAATAAGTTTTATTGGCCTGTTTTTCTTGTTTTATTGTAAAAAATAAAATAAAACTCAAATGCATGTATTTAGGGCAGTTTTAACAGTGTCGTCTGTTTCTTGATTTGTTTTATTATTGTTAACTTTTTATTAAAAAAGAAGGAATGCCTGTCAGTTATAAATGGTAATGTCACTCACAGATTTGTATTTTAAATATGAAGACTTCCACTTTCCATAGACTTTGAAGTATTTTTCAAATAAAAAAAAAAGAAATATTTGTGTATGATCCATGTAGTGTTGCCTGGTAAAAATGTACCTGGACATAGACAGATGGAAATAAAACCACTTTGGATTTATGCAGCTTTCCTCTGATTGCATCATGTGCAGAGTTGTATGGCAGAGATAGAACACTATTGTACATATGAAATGATTTTAAGGGCGATTCCCAATATTATGATTTTCTTGAAATTATTGAATTCCAATACAGTGTTTAAATGAGTTTTTGTACATTTAATGCTTTAGCGTTATTTATATGCTTTAGGCAGAGCTGTATTATTTTATATGTGGCCGCGAAAAACCTATTTAATGTGCATTGTCTTCACTGGTATTAACATAATTAATTGCATTATTTTAAATTCTACAGTACAACCGCTGCCCCTTTCAGCTAAACTCGAGGCATTTGGCTATATCAACTGTTATATTAAAAAATAAAATGTCCGTTATTAATACTAAAGTATATGAGTCAAACGGCATACTGTCATTTTGAAGTCATCTATGAATTGACCATAAACACCAAACACTATTTGTGATCGGAGGGGTGTTGCTTTGACAAAAGGTGGAGTAGGTATAATTGACAGCTGAATCGGCCAATCAGATATCTCAGTCTGTGTCGTAGTTTCTTAGCAACCAATCGTTGGCGACGATGGGTGGGGCACCAATAAGGTGGACGCCAACCGCCGTTAAACTGGAAAGAAGAAGAAGAAAGAAGAAGACGACGATGGGTGGGACCTATTCTTGCGTCGCTGCTTGCTACCGGGGTAACGGAGTTTTGAGGTTGTACGGAATGTTGCCGGTGTAGCAGGAACTCCCGCCATTTTTCAATCGGCTATAAACCCTCTTATTTGTTTATGTAATCAGCACGTCCCTCAAAACAGCATCTACGCGGTCTACAGTCGCTGCGGACAGGGGATTGGTACGTCGCTTTGGCCTGGAGAATCGACGACAACACGGACCTGAGCGGCATAAGAAAGCCCGCCATACCAGCTCCGACGGGCCGCGTTTCGCGCTTCCGTCCCCGGCACCCAGGAGCTTCCGCTCACTCCTCAGGCTCTCTTCAGGCATCTCACCATGACCCCACCGGCTCCCTCAATCCAGCGGATTTAACACGGGAGATGTAACTGATCGATAAGACCGTACTTTTGTTGGTGTTTTGTTTTCCTAAAAGTAAGTAAAGCAGCGCGCGCTAGCCTAGCCCGATGCTACGCCACTGAGACGCGCGGATTCACGGCATATTCAGTTCAAGCTGAGATTGAGCGGGGGTTAGTTCAGTAGTTGACTTTGCAGACACATCCAGGACCGCAGCGAGCCCGCCATGGCACCATTACTAGGCCGGAAGCCGTACCCTTTGGTTAAGCCGCTGTCGGAGCCGCCGGGCCCAGCAGAGGAGGTGTTCATCATCGAGCACACTAAAGAGGCCTTCAGGAACAAAGAGTATCCTTTCTCACTGTCTCCACTATCAAGCACTAGACATACAAACACGTGCTCGCGAGAGTCTCGATCCGTTGCTTCCACGCGGGTCCTTGAGTCTGAGCGTGTGCGAGCGCGGGGTTTGCGTTTATGCGTTTATTATTGTTTTCATCTTGCGCGCTGCATCTCATTGTAACGCTAACAGGCTAAAGGTGACCATGACTTTTAGATCAGCTGGGGCATAACTCTTAAGACCGGGCTAAGGGTTATATTTGTCTGATTTTGAGTACTGAAGCATGATGAATTACGGGTTGTTGTTGTCCTGTGTGTATGTTAGAGCGAGCTAGCTTGAGGACGCACTGTGTGTGTGTGTGTGTGTGTGTGTCGTCTGGCTGAACAGTTTCTCATCCAAACTGCCATGACTCAATCTTGTGACACGAGCCCGCGCTTATTTACAGGCAGAGGCATATGTGATGTGAGCTTATAGATTGATGCTCCTGAACAGCCAACCATCTGTTGAGTGAGACTGTAATATTTATCTATATGCTGGGAGAGTGTGATTATGATGGTACACACAGTTTTAGCTGCTGCTGGAGGGGAATGTGCGAGTTCCTGTGCTGCTGCTGCGCGAGGTCGTTTGCGCGCGAGATGTTTTTCGCGCGTCACGTGAATTTGGTCATGAGTGAGGGGATGTTTAGGTCGTTAGCAATCAAGATATTACTTCTCTGGTGTATGCGGTTTAATTCATATTTGTGAAATGTTTTATTTTTTGTAATTATAACTAGATACTTGAAATGCTATTTAAGCGTGTTTTTATTTATTCCACACAAAATATCGTATCTGACCGATATCACTGCACTAGGTTTCCAGAGAAACTACTCCTGTCTCTCTAAACGGCATAAAAAGGAAAGTGACCCGCATGTGTTACGGAATCAGAAAACTAGCCAATCAGGAACGTTCACTGCCTGTCAGTCTCTCTGCGCGTTCGGGGTTTGTGACATCTGGTTGGCTGCCGTGTCCGCGGAGGGCGGGCCTTTAGAGTGAAGGCGTGTCAGATTGCAAAACGATGGAGGTTGCGGTTTATACTTTTCAAAACTGCCTGACTCGTTCGTCAAGATTTAATCACGTGATTAAACTTTAGGCCTGCGTTTAGATCCAAGTCAGCACCTTAAAGTAGACGATTTTCCCATCATTTAGCGTGTTTTCTAGGTTTACGTTTGTTCTAGGTCTGCCAAATTAGTGTTTGAATCAAGTTTTGAGTTAAAGCATCAGGAGAGGTGTCATGTCATACCGTTTAATACATGTAATGATAGAATAACACATCGGGAAATATATTGATTAACCAGATATTTGGCCATTTTGAGATTCTCTATCTGCCATTTAAGTTTTGCTTGTCTGATTAAAAGCACCATCTGATAAACATCATCCTTGTGTCAGTTGTAAAATTTACTGACAAGTCATGTCCTAGTTTAAAAAAAAGTTTTGTTTTAAACGGAGTAATTTTGTCTAAATCTTGTTTGCTGTCATTAAACACCCAGGTTTCTAGATATGCTGACATTGGGCGTTAAAGGGTTAGTTCACCCAAAAACGAAAATTAGCCTGTGTTTTACTCACCCTGGAAGCATCCTAGGTGTATGTGACTTTCTTCTTTCAGATGAATCCAGTCAGAGTTATATTTAAAATTGTCCTGGCTATTCCAAGCTCTATCATTGCAGTCAGCGGGTGTTTCTGTTGAACAGTACACAAGTCGTCAAATAAAGTGCGCGCATCCATAGTGCTAATGGAATAAAGGCCTCCTGTAGCGAATCCATGTGTTTTTTTGTCAGAAAAATATCCATATTTCAAACATAATAAACACTTTTCTCTCACTTCTGTTATCTGTCATACGCGGAAGGCGTTCCGGCGGATGACGCAGCACGAATGCGCAGCGCGCGCGCCTCTGAGATATGCTAGTCTCGCGAGTTTGTTTACAGGAGCAAAGGAAGCAAAGTTTCCTTACTTTAGCAAAGGACAACCAGTCTCCTCTTGGTTTATATCGAAATCCTCAGACAACTTTCTTTACAAATCCTCAGTTTGTACTTCTAATTCGTGACCGGCGTTTTGTTTTCTTCTCTCTCCGCATTCGTCACGAATCACGTAACGCTGATGTACTACGTCATCCGCCGGAACAGCTTCCGCGTATGACAGATACCGGAAGTGAGAGAAAAGTGTTTATTACGTTTGAAATATAGATATTTTTCTTACAAAAACGCATAGATTCGCTACAGGAGGCCTTTATTCACCCCCCGGAGCCGTGTGATGCATGTTTATTATGGATGCATGCGCTTTATTTGATGACTTGTGTACTGTAAAACAGAAACACTCGCTGACTGCAATGATAGAGCTTGGAATAGCCAGGACAATTTTTTATATAACTCTGACTGGATTCATCTGAAAGAAGAAAGTCGCATACACCTAGGATGCCTCGAGGATGAGTAAAACAATCTAATTTTCATTTTTGGGTGAACTAACCCTTTAAAGCCCATGTTGGGTGACCACTAATAATTATGCTTTGATATGCATTTATCACATGAACAATGCAAGATTAACTTACAATTATTTATCTTGGCTCTGAAATGATTAAAATTTTTCAGAGTGCTTGAAATAACAATTTTGCTGAGGCTGTTGTATTTTTGGTGACAATTACTGTTTTTAATTGCAAGTTTAATTCTAAAAATGTGCTCATACAGTATCTGCTGCTGCTGGCCCTTTAATTATTGAGCTGCTGTGCTACAAGCATGCATCAGTTATGAATGAATCTCTCTCAGACGACAGACAGCAGAGCTAACATCACTTGATCGGCTCTGCTTTGGACGTACTGCTTGAGGTTTCAGAAGAGCTGGAAGCGATGTAGTGTTTTTTGCCCTTAACACTGTTGTTCAGAGAGTATGAAGCTCGACTGCGCAGGTATGCAGAGCGGATATGGACGTGTAAAAGCACCGGCAGCAGCCAGCTCACACATAAGGAGGCTTGGGAAGAAGAACAGGAGGTCACAGAGCTGTAAGTAACAAAACTGAGTGAATGCATGAACTTGGAGCATCAGCAGCATCATTTAGCTGTCAGTTGTTTTCGAAGTCTCTTTCTGACTATGGATGCATTAATATTCAGAGATGTACTGAGCAATTGGGTGTGTCTCAATATACAGTAAGCTATCCGTGCCTAACCTAGCATTTTTGGGTGTCCAAAGCATAGAAATGCTGAGGAGGTACCCTAAAATTTGGCAAATGTTACAGTAAAACAGAAAATAAATAAAAACTTGTTCAGAATATTAATAAAAAACATGTTTGTGGTTTAAGAACACATGGAAGTAGGGGTGGGCAGTATGACAAATGAAGTTTCACGGTATGACTTATTTCACGTTAACAATATATTTCACGGTATAGTTATTTATATATGTAGTTATTCCGAACATAGACAAAAAGGGCTTTATATGATAAACTCATACTTTTTTTATTTCAAAAGTATATTTCACCTTGTTTGAATTTCTTTTATTGGTAAATTTAATTTGTTAAAACCATTCAACTTATATATTAACTGCCCCCAGCTTATTGATATTAGATGCAACTTTTTCTTCTCTCACTTCTCTCACTCTTAGGTACAATTAAACTTTAAATAAGTTGTTTCTGAATTTTTTACATCTCATGTTATTGTTTTACTTCAATCAGTTTATAATATCTAAATACTTTATATTATACTAAATATTCTGGTCATGATAAATTACGTTTACTTCCTTTTAATTTTGTAGAATACTATTAATAGTAGTTATATTGTTTAATTTTGTTCCTTTGTATCGGCTTCTTATACTACATTTTAAGAGGGTTGTTTTGCTCTCTTCTGGCAATCCCTCGCCTGGAGCTTTAATCAAGAGAGGGAAGAGTTCAGTAGTGACTAGTAGAGCAGCAGTGTGCATACTGAACATCAGCTAAACAGCTGCTGTTAGTGCTGAGTCTAAGTAGTTTAAATTATACACACCTTATGTCTAAGTCTCACGCGGTGAGTTAACCACGCCCATTTACATCTTGCGGTATACACAATATTAGATTATTGCTTAAAGTGTGTAAAATCAATTTCAATTATATTTTAAAATATTTAAAAATGAAAATTATATAACCAATTTGTTTCACATTCTTTCTTGGAAAAGAAAGAATCACTACAACTTCTGAAAGTGACCAGCAGTGTTATAGCATTACATAAAAAGTAATGTCACAATTTAGAAAATGTCATTTTAACATCAGTGTGAACATACAAACAAAAAAAATTTAATAACTAATTTTATATCATTGTAACTTTGCTTTCCATACATTTTAAGTACTTCTTCATATACCACAGCAAAAACTATAGTCTGAGAAAGTTCAAACATGATTAAAAACAAGTGAGCGGTCATTAGAAAAGAAAAAAAATACACAATTTACAAGCATAGATAAAATAAACAGTAGTATTCAGATACAGAAATTTAATAATTAAGTGTAAAATAACACTGCATAGTGTTCACGGTATGAATTCAATTTAGAGTAAGCTGTTTTGTTTGATTAACATTAGTGACATATTCAGCAGCACGTATTTATAAGCTGCTGTCCCTTTAAAACTGACTGCACGGATCCAGTATAATGATACACATCCGATTTCTTTCTCAGCTGTTTACATTCATTTAAAACGTAACTGACTGCGTTTACGAGAATGTTCGTCGAGACGGGTACTATTGACACAATTCTGTGTGTATGTGTCTGTTCAAACATGAGGAGATGCGAAAGTCTAATCAACTCAGTGTTCGTGCGCTGTCTGAAACGTGTTTCTGTGTGTGCGCACGCTTCAGGTGTGAGTCAGACAGCAAGACGAGAAAGAGTTGTTTTCTGCAACTTATTGCACTTAACTCTTTAACGTCAAGCGATTCTCTGCTATATGCGTCGAACTAAAACTTTGACCTTTTGCAACGTTTTGATTTAAGTAGCCTATTATTAAAATGATTCAGATATCGCACGCCCTTGCGATATGCATATTGTGATATTTACATTTGCGATATATCGTGCAGCCCTACCGCCCAGTCCTACCTGGAATTATCAGAATTTTAAAATTGGAAAATTCACAAATCTTCAGTCATAGAAGAATTGATTCAGTGCCACAGGCGGTTTGAACTAATTCAAAGAAATGTGTCTTACTAACTCGTGCCAAAACTGTTTTTGCTACTGACATTTGAATCTGTCTTAACAACTTTTATATGGTCAGCGGCATCACAAATACATCAAGAATTTTCTGTATTTCGTCCTATTTTTTCATCCGGTATTTATTTTTGAAATAGCTGTGCCCAGCTCCAAAATATTTTATTTGCTTAAAATTCTTGGAATTAAAAAAAAGAGTAATAACCAGTAACTATTTAAAGGCACAGAAATTCAGCCTTTAATTTCCTGCTTTTCTACTGTATTTAGCAGAGAGCTTGTAAACTAAACTATTGTCAGGCTGTTGTGTTTAGGCAATGTCATATGACCGAACCTCTGCTGTCTCATTGGTGCCCTTTTGCCTTCAACCCCTTACAGTCTAATAAGAGAGTGCATTATTGATTGAGTCATCAGCAGTCAGGGTAGGGAAATGCTTTGCTTTTTTACTTCATGAAATGATCACTTCAAGGGAAAATGTGACCTGCTCAACTGATGTGCAAACTGCTTTCTATGTGGGTTGGAGTGACGGATTGAAAACAGTTTAGTCTCATAAGCTGCTTATGTAACCAGACACTCGTACACTCAGAGAACAGTTTGCTGTACGGACCATATAGAGTGTTATGCTGCTGTAAGGGTCAGTGTGTTTTTGAAGCTATTTTTACAGTTAATTCTTCACTCCTGTGTTTCTCATCTCCCTCTGCTGGTCATGAAGTGTATTAAAGGGTTAGTTCATCCAAAAATGAAAATTAGACCGTGTTTTACTCACCCTCAAAGCATCCTAGGTGTATGTGACTGACTTTCTTTCAGACGAATCCAGTCAGCATTATATAAAAAAAATTGTCCTGGCTATTCCAAGCTCTATCATTGCAGTCAGCGGGTGTTTCTGTTGAACAGTACACAAGTCATCAAATAAAGCGCATGCATCCATAATAAACGTGCCTCACATGGCTCCGGGGGGTGAATATAGGCCTGTAGCGAATCCATGCGTTTTCATAAGAAAAATATCCATATTTTAAACGTAATAAACACTTTTCTCTCACTTCCGGTATCTGTCATACGCGGAAGCGTTCCGGCGGATAACGTAGTACATCAGCGTTACGTGATTGGTGACGAATGTGGAGAGTAGAAAACAAAATGCCGGTCACGAATTAGAAGTACAAACTGAGGATTTGTAAAGAAAGTTGTCTGAGGATTTCGATATAAACCAAGAGGAGACTGGTTTTCCTTTGCTAAAGTAAGGAAACTTTGCTTCCTTTGCTCCTATAAACAAACTCGCGAGACTAGCATATCTCAGAGGCGCGCGCGCTGCGCATTCGTGCTGCGTCATCCGCCGGAACGGCTTCCGCGTATGACAGATAACAGAAGTGAGAGAAAAGTGTTTATTACGTTTGAAATATGGATATTTTTCTTACAAAAACACATGGATTTGCTACAGGAGGCCTTTATTCAAAAATACCTAAAATCACCTAAATTTGGGTTTTTGCGACCCAGCTGTTTTTTTTTGTTTCTTTTTTAAAGTCTATATCTTTTAGCTTTGAAGTAATCTCTATTCCATAATACTCTTGCATGTAATCACTATTCACTTTTAACAGATATTTACATTTAAGTTTTGCTCTTTCTTTTCTGGTGAGAATTGGAACAAACATTCATGACATAAATGGTAAATCGTAACCTTGTTTTCTAATATGGTTAGTGAGACTGTCATAACATTAATATTTTAGATACCAGTGAAATTTCACAATTCTTGATTCCAAGCAAAAACTACTAGCCCAACTAATATAGAGTTCAAACATTATTAAAGACAAGTAAACAATCAGTAATAAAATAAAAACAAATTAGAAGCAATAGCACTAATGAATACAATGGAGCAAAGATTCAATAAACTTAAAAGTTTTCAGGTAGGTTTCAGGGAAGAAATTGGGCCAGTGATAATTATTTTCTTGAGCATCTGTCATGCTGGTTATCAGGCAGTTATTTTCAAGCCCTGCATTGGTTAGCAATAACTTGTTGAAAATCGTTGGCTGTCCCATGCAATACATGCACTATTATATCAGTACAGTCATCAATTGGGGTGGAGTATTATCATAGTTCAAAAGTCACACTAAGTTAGTTTTAAACTCATGTAGCCATTGTTTGGTCTGATTTTTGGCAGGCTTCAGGAGGAGTACCCAGTGTGGTTTGAGAAGCCGGTTCTGGAGATTGTGCACCATAACACAGTATCTCTTGATAAGCTAGTAGATCTGGTCTGGCTGGAGATTCTCACCAAGTATGCTGTGGATGAGGAGTGTGACTTCTTGGTATGTACTTGGATTTAATATTTGGACTAATAAACAAAATGTAGGGTGGGAATTTTGTCAATTGGAATTTGTTTAAAATCCGAAAAAGTGGGGTAGCATTGTCCTGGAAAACCTGCAAATGTTAAGGAATTACTCTATAACAGTGTCATTTTTCCTCTTCTGTCTACTTTATGCTTAGGGCTGGACAATAATTCGATATCAATATGTATCGCGATATAATTTTTTTTCAATAACGGTGATATGATTTTTAAACACATTTCCGATATTTCGATATACATTACCAGTTGTATCACTCTAAAAGCGCCTCCTGCTGGCAGAGAATGAGTTTTCATTTTAAATAAGCCCCCGTAAATGGCGCATCATGCACGTGAGGTTATCTGACGGAGAGACGCAAAGCAGTTTAAAGCAGAGTCCTGCACGGGTGCTGTTAGGTAAACCTGCATCCGCAGTAGCTA